CTCTGGGCTGCCGCTGCTTCAGGCGCTGTTCGCCTGGCTTTGCACCGTCGCCGCTCTCCTCTTCGGGGTCGCGGTGGCCTGGCGTTGGCAGCGGGGTCGTCGAAGCCGTCGGCTGCGGCTGAAACAGGTGGGGACGGTGGCTGATCTCTTCATCTACCCGGTCAAATCCTGCCGGGGAGTGGCTGTGAAGCGAGCCGAGATGACCACGCTGGGCCTTCGGAGCGGGAAGCTGCGAGACCGGTAAGCTGGCCGCGGGAGATGCAACGCACTGATGAGAACGGGCGCCTTCGGGGCGCGGACTCTCTTCCGCGGCTCCGACTGGGGCGCGTTGCTCTTTGGAACCTCACCACGGTCCGCTTCTTTCAGGATTGTTCTTTGGGGCTGGGGTTAATCAGCCCCCGACTCCGCTAGCCCTGCCCCCTTGAGGATCCCCAGCAAACCTCGGAGGGACTGTTCAGAACAGCTTGCTTGTTTATCCACGTTTACAGGGGCGGTGTTGTGCAGGCTAAGCACATGTGGTGCAATCGCAAATCAATAAAATCCACCCGTCCCGTCCCCCGTTATCATCAAGTTCAGTCCTTCGTAGGTGATCACCACCACTCCGAGGGACGGAGGGTGTAGTTCAAAAAAGCAGAAGTAACATAGTAGAACAGTCTTCTTGCTGGACCGAGAATATGGGAGGAATAGCCTAACACGGTGTTTTTCAAACTTAGCAACTTTAAGATGGGTGGATTTCAACTCCCAAAATTCCCCAGCCAGCTGGGGAATTATGGTAGTTGAAGTCCACCCATTTTAAAGTTGCCAGGTTTGAAAAACACTGACCTAACACTTCTGGAGGGCAGCAGGTTGGAAAAAGAAACAACTGGAGGGAGAATGCAGCAGTGCCAAAGTAACAGAGAAACTAAAAAGTCTTGGGGCTGCCTGAGAGTGGACAGGAAGATGCCACATTTGGCTGCAGGAGAAGCAAATGCAGAAGGAGGTCAGTATGAAAGGGGCTCACTTGTTATTGAAGACTGCTTTACTCTTTTTGTATGCCACAGTATAAAAATAAATAGTAAACACATGGCAAAAAAAAAAAAAGACAATTGCGCTAGGAAATGGGTATTTGGAAGAAACCCTGATGATCTGATTGCTGTTTTAAGGATCTTGGAAGTTCTTTCTATTACAGTGAAAACCATTCCCTCTTTTACTTTCTTGCCCCTGATTTCTAGAGGGATGCCCTGCTCCTCTTTAGAAGGAATTCCAGATTGCACTGGCCAGTAGGATATTGCTCCTCCCTTTCAATAGGAAGAGTATCTTGCCTGCCCATTATCTCTCTCTTAACCATGTTCTGTTGCCTAGTTTGTTATGGAAATGCTAGCAGCAAAACCCAACACTGAGAATCTAACTTTTACCGTGCCTTCTGCATATAGTATTAGATTAAGTAAGGTAGCCAAAACATTGCTTCGGGAGTTTTTTCCCAACACCTTTACAAGCAGTGGCTATTGGAAGCATCTGCATTTTTTCCTATATATTCAAGTAATGTATTCTCCGTGTGTTTCGGTTTCTCTGAGGTGCATCTCTGTTTGTGTGCACTGGAAAGCACAGGATGGGCTGCATATGCCCTGGTTAGAGTGATGTGACCAGCTTGGAATAGAGCCGCATTTTTACCTACTATCCAACTGCCTCTCTTGGAATTTTTCCTGGAATGTTTTCCTACACAGCCTGTAGTGCATCTCGCCGTTTTGAACTTTTTTTTAGCCAGCTTCTCCCACCATACCACATTTGGTCCCGTTTTGTTCAGTTTATGGATACTTATTCTGCTAGTAGGCAGATACATGAAAAGCCCCAGAACTGGCAAAATTCCATTCCAATATTCTGTTGGATTAGAAAGAGTCCATTATATTGAGAAAAAAAACAAAAACAGAAACAAACAAACCCAATCCTAAAACTCCTGGAAAAAGTGTCAAAATTCCCTGAGGCCATAGTCTCTTCTTTTTCTTTTCTACTGTATGTAGTAGTGCCTCATTAGCAATGTTTACATTAGATTTGTTGTTTTAATTCCTTGTCTAGAGCGGTGTTTCTCAACCTCAGCTACTTTAACATATATGGACTTCAACTCCCAGAATTCCCCAGCCAAGTCCCAGCATAGTGCTGAGTCTAGCTGATTTCAAAGGCTGCAATATATTTTTGTTATTAGCATGATAGATAGATGTTTTTAAACAAATGCTCTTTCTTATGTAGGTGTTGGACTGTGATAAAAGATGGTCATATGGTATCTGCTAAGAAAATCCCTCGCATAGTTCTAATAACTGTATCCTGTGAAGATGACTATTTAATCCTGAATGCCCCAGGAATGAAGACCCTGCAAATTCCTATTGAACTCCCAAGAACAAATTCAATCTGGAATTGCACGTATTAAAGAATTTTATTTTTCCTTGCTTCCTGGAAAACAAGCTTTTCAATTTTATTCTGATGTTCCTTGCATTTATTTATTTCTATATACCTCCCCAATCACTCTTGGATGGAGCATGATAAGCAAAAATGGGGGGAAAATGGAAGAATGCAAAGAACACAGTATAAAAACAGTGGTTGCCCAGCAACCATACTATGGGCCCAAGGCCAGCTGGAATAAAAGCCTTTCAGGCCTTTCTAAATGAAATGGACAACTGAATCTGGGGGGAGGGTACAATATTCCAGAGTGTGGGGACTACAATCTTTGGGATGTTGGTCCTGGTATTTTTGTTTTGTCCCTCTAGAGCCTATAATTTTGTTGTAGTCTGCTGAATAATAGAGGTACAGTATTCCGCTATTGTTCAGTGGAAAATGGGAGGAGGAGGCAGATAGGTAGATAGATGTAACCCTTTTTTTTAGGATTGACACATAAAAACACCTCCCCTCAAAATAACCCCTGGCCACCCAACCCCAGAAATGGAATCCAGTCCCATCTGCTTGGTGACATCATTTTGTCATTACTTGCTCACTGCAGCCCTCATTAATCTCTCAGTTTTTTAAAGTGCATCCTCCAGGCACTAATGGTTAAATGCCAAAAAGTGTCCAAAAGGGAAAAAAACCCCCCCTATATTTAAATATTATACAAAAAATAATGTATTATGTTTTATATTGAATGTAGTTCAGCAAGCTACTAAATAAATTCTACCGCTATGACAAATACTTTATACTTATCATTAATAATCTATTATCTTCAATGAATTCTATTTATTGTTACATCAATATATTTGATAAAATTTCTGCCCTTAATTGCTCCAGTACTAAATACCTGCAGTACAATGCTTTTGAAGTGTTCCTTCTTCCTTTTCCAATTTATACTTTTATTCATACAATTAATTTCCACATTCTCCCTATCCCAATACATTGAAGAGTTTGTGTTAGCATATAAATACTCATTAACTCATATTGTCTTGTTTTATTTCATATTAGTCTGCCTAAGTCACTTTCGAATGTTACTCCTAATTTGCAGCTGTTAATATGATTATAGATACAATCTGGAGTTCCTTTAATACGATTTAGGTATATTACATTACATAACCCATGAATCTAGAGAGGGGCATATTAACCCATTTGGAAAAACCGTCTACAGTTTTTATTCCCTGAAACCTGATCCCATTTATTCTGGTATGAACCCAGAGGTAAAAAAATTATGTCTATCTCAGATATTCATTAATACTAATTTCTTTCAGTAAGTGTCTTTATACTTTTACTTGATCATAAAGTAGTCTGAATGTGGATTTCTTTCTATCCCTTTTTTCCTGTTGATTTAGGTAGCTATTAAACTAGAATTCCAGTGGCATGTATGTGATAGATTTGTGGGGCAATCTTAGGTCCTCATGGCTGGCATGGTAGTTCAACTGCTTTATATGCAGGCAAAATACAGAAAGTGAAAGCAGGGCAGCACTTCAAATGCTGAAACATCAATAACTGTATTAAGTGTCTAGCTTCCAAGCAATTGCAAAAAATGTCTCTTATGGTCTTTTAGACGATATGGAATCTAAGCTCAAGGCAGGGACTGTGGAGATGAAGCAGCTGAATGGATCACTACTTTCCTGAACATAGAGCCTTGTCGGTTGGTTCATTATGAAGCAAATATGGTGACAAGGAAGCCAAGAGGTTACTTGCCTGCTTTTCTACCAACAGATGAGGTTAGAAGACAGTTTCCCTCAAAAATATATTTTTAATATTTGCATTGGTTTTGAACTTCCTAATTTTCTGTATCAAAGAATACTTCTATGGTAATGGCTGAAATGCCTCAGTATCTTCTTTATCTTCATCTTCTTTTCTCCTCCTCCTCCTCCTCCTCCTCCTCCACCTTTCCTCCAGTAATTCGAGGTTACTCACATAGGGATCTTCTGAGAGACAGGCTGGGTTGACAATGAATGGCTCAGTCATCCAGTAAGCTTCTGAGACTGGATCTCCCCAGTTCTGTCCTAATCCCTATATTATATGGTATGCTTAGAATTATGTTCCAATGAAATCAATATGAGGTATGTTTAGCTAAATGTATTGGGGTTATTAAATAGTATGGAAATTTCAGTGTATTCTGTCAACTTCCAGGAAATGTATAAGAATGCTGTGGAATGATTAGGGATTGTGATTGTTCTTGGTCCTCAAATACATGTGGTCTGGAATTCCCAAACATGTCCCATGGTCAAAGATAGTGAGAACTGTGGTCTGAAAACATTTGGAAGGCTACAGCGTACTCACCAGTGGTCTAGATTACATATCCAATTGGAATAAGCCTACATTTAAAATAAAAAGATGAATCATTTCATGTGATGGACTGGAATGGAGGAAGGGGGGTGAAAACGGTGCTCTCGTCTCCAGAGCAACGCTCTGGAGATAAGTGGAGAAAG